ACCATGTCACCTGGGAGAGACACATGGGAGTTGAGCAGGAAGGTGGTGAGTTCAGTGCAGACTGGAGGATGGCTCTGGCAAGGAGATGGTGTCCTTGTACTCATCTCGGTATAAAACTCTCTCTGGCCTTCATCAATACCAGAAGCCTTGGCTGGCTGCCAGCCTCTTCTGCTGAGCCGCTGCGCCAATAAATACTTGTTGGCAGGTCAATTAAACCATCTAGGAACAACGTCTGGAAATACAGTTTCCCCGGCCCGATGCAGGCGGCCAAGCCCTCTCTGCCAATTAGACCTCAGATCCTATGTTTCCCGTTCTCCCCCACAACCCCCACCCCAGAAAATGAGCCCTGGGCACCGACACCTTCTCTGTGGAATCAGGCCCTACTTGGTGGGCAAAATGGAGTCAGGGATGGTCTAGACAGCAGGAGGCAGGGCACAGGAGTGCTCGGGCCCGGGTTTAAGCACAGCTCTACTGCTGTCTGTCTGTGTGGCCTTGAGCACATTCACTAATTTACCTTTCCAAGAGTCCATCTGCCCATCTACAGAATGGAGATAATAACAGCACAATGCCTCCATGTTTATTGTAGGCACAAAAAAGAGAGGCAGGGGAGAGGGAGAGGGAGAGAAGAATGCGATGGCCCAGAGCACGAAACATGAATGGCATAAACAAACAAACAAACACCTTGTAATTGTTATATGACTCTCAAATCAAAGCTGTGTGGCACTCCAAGCCTGCGCGTCTGTCTGGGGCTTCTCTCCACTTCCTGTGTCACTTATACTCCACTCACCACCCAAGATCTCCAAGACAGGAGACAAAGCCGTTCTGTCAACCTACTTTCCTGGCCTGCAACATGTGGAAGGAGGAGGCAGGGAGCAGAGGAGCAACTCCGGAAACCATCCTGGAGCAGATTCCAAAGGCCTGGCCCACCTCACAGCAGTTGGGCCAAACCTCACAGCAGTTGGGACATTTTCAGTGACATTCTCCTGTTAGCGACCAACGCATGCCTGATGCACAGCCACTGCTGGGGCTGTCTTTATGCAGCTAACTTTTTAGAACACCCCGTGGAGCTCTGTGCTGAGCCAAGAGCTTTGAGGGCTAGAGATGAAGGCAGGAGTGAGGAGAGCTACCAGGACAGCATTTCAGAGTCTCACCTAGACCCACCGCTGAAGGAAAAGTCCAGTTGGCTGCGTGGCCACCCAGCCCGGTGGAGCAGCCTTTCCTGTTACTTCCCTTCTGCCCCCTGTGCAAACGTCTCCACAAGGGGCCCGCTGGGCCACCGTGCCTCCCGTTTGAATCCCAGTTCCCCCAGTTTCCAGTTTGGTGACCTTGAGCAACATACTCAAGCTCTCTGTGCTTCAATTTCCTCACTTTAAATGAGATAATACAGGCATTGGCTGAATGAGTGGTTACAAGGATTAAATGAGTTAAAATTTGTAAAGTGTTTAGAATAGAGCCCAGCACCACCTAAGAGGGAGTTTAGTTTATTGCTGGTGTGCTATTACTGCTGTTATTATTTGGGCCCTGGATCTGATCATATGGAGACTTGCCCACTTGCCCGGCCTTGGTTCTACGTTTCATTCGGATGGCAGAGCCCCCGGGGGTCCTGCAGCTCTTTGCAGCAAACTCTGACAGGTAGAACCACTTCACTCCATGCCACGGCCAAAGAACACATTTGCAACAGGAAAACGTGCTTCTAGGAGCTCCTGCCCCCAGCGAACACATGCTTCCGAGTTAAATGAGGTTAGACCTTTTTAGGTCTTGCTTTCAGAGTCATAAAAATTCAAAAATTGAGAAAAGGATATCCATCAACTTCCTTCCGTCACATTAGAGGAGAAGCTTCTATTGAGGCCACTTTTGTTGTAACCCGTAGGTCAACCCCAGGACCTGGCTCCGCTCACCTAGCTAATGAAAGCAGAAGCACCACTTGCCGTGTAACTGCTCTGTGTCGGCGAGCTTTACTACGTCCATTTTACAAAGGAGAACAGTGAGGTTCAGAGCAGTAATCCTTGCGCCCGGCCTTCTGGTGAATGCTAGGGCCACACTAACATAGCCTGTGAGGAGCCCGGGGCACAGCTCTCTCCCTGATGATCTTCCGGGGAAGCAACCCCAGAGAGCAGCCCCGCCTTTCTGCTCCAGAATGTGTCTCTGACTGTGCTCCCCTACATCCCTGTCGGGTCTGAGAATGGGGACTTGACATCATGTCCGCAACCCATGTTGGCACAGAATTCTCATGTACACAACCCCACATTGGGTCACCTTCCCTGCCCAGGGACTCCCTGAGGCCAAACGCCTCCCGGTGCCCAGGATGCCCTTGGTGGACATCAGCCCAGGTCCCAGCTATGGGCATCACACAGTCCCTTCCCAACCAGCCCCTATCAGAGTCCACTGCAGCATGTCCTATGGCCCACTCCGTAGTCAGGGCTTGTCCTAGGCTGACCATGGCCTTTCAAAGCACAGAAAAGTTGAGTTCCCCCCCTTTTTAAAAAAATTTTGAAGTCGACTTATTTACTTTGAGAGAGAGACAGAGAGAGTGAGCAGGAGAGGGGCAGAGAGAGAGGAAGAGAGAAAGAATTCCAAGCAGGAGTGTGGAGCCTAATGTGGGGCTTGAACTCATGAACTGTGAAATCGTGACCTGAGCTGAAACCAAGAGTCGAACGCTTAAGCGACTGAGCCAGCCAGGTGCCTCTGCTGAGCTCCTCCTTTTTGCAATCATACCCTGCCCATGATAGAGAACATTGCTTCTAGCTGGAGAACAGGCCAGTGTCATAGCAGACAAGCCAATCCTGACATGGAACAACAGATGCTGCAGGCCAGCATCACATGACATCCTGGCCTTTGCTTGCCTCCTCGAGGAGCATTCCAGCTTCAGCCAACCTCAAAAATCACCGCCAGTGGGGAGAAGCGTGGAACAGTCCACGTTTCAGCCTCACCCAGCTTCTCCAGCCACCTGAAGGATCCAAGCACTCAAAATGCCCCCAACACAACTATCTGTTCCCACCTAGCTCCCCACCAACATTGCACCAAGGAGGATACCAGGGCTTGACTCCTCCTGATCCTAACACGCATGGGGGAGCCACGGTCTATGACCTTGTTAGCATCTCAGCTTTGTGCCTGAAAACCAAGCAACAGATAATAGCTGGGCATCAATACCAGTGAATCAATACCCAAGAGGAAGCCCACCTTGGGGGCCCAATTGCTGGCTCAGGTAGCTCCTGCTGGGTATCAATGTCAGCCTTTAATCCCAGCTACAAGATCTCACAGCAGCTGTGAAAGAGACCTGATCCTGTCCCATTTTACTGACAAGCAAAATGAGCTGTAAGGCATTAGCATGAATCACTGAAGACGCAAAACCATCGAGCACTGGGGATGCAGTTGGAACTAAGGCATGTCAGACTCCAGAGCCTTGTGCACCAAGTCCACCCTTCTAGTCCCAGGATAAATTCTGGCAAGTAAATTTCCCAATTCTGCTTGAAAAGAGTGTTTGTTGTTGCCACTGGTTTTCTTGGTACTGGGGTTTGCCTGCGCCCCATGTCTGTGAGAGTTCCAGACATTCTCCACGTGGCACTGGGATGATTAAACTAGCCCTTCTCAGCACACACTCAGCTGCTCTGAGATCTAACCAGATAAATCAGAGAAAACAGAACAACACTTTGCCATCAACGGCAATCTCAGTTCAACAACCGTGAAAAGGAAATCTGAGCAAGAATGTCACCTATTACACCAGAGAGCTGAGCACACCAGCCACTTTCTGCTGGCCTGGCACCCTTGAAAACAGTCAACCTAACCTATACTCAAGTAAATATAAATTTTACTTGAGTAAAATCTTGTTCTTGACTTCTTTTCTTGGGTGTCCCCCCCCCCCCCTCCACGGGGGGGGGGGGGGCGTGGAAAAAGAATAAGTTTCAGGGGCTGACAGATGACCTAGGTAGACCCTGGCTCTCTATAGCTCTGCTCCCTGAAATGGGGGCAATTATATCTCTCATTTGAAATGAATAAACTGGAATTCAGGCTTTAAGCACCTGCCTCTGTGAGCTGTGTCAGGGTTGTGGCAGGAAGTCTATTTGGATGAGGAGTGCATAAGCCCACAAGGCTCCGCTCAGCTGGTGGCCATAGATGCCTCTGTCCAGAGGCCACCCTGCCTCCGAATGACTCCCTCCTAAAAACATAAGCATTTTTGTTGCCGTGATTTTGAAGCTGCCTGACAGCATGATGGTGCATGTTAAATGACAGGAGGCCTTAGAGCTGCCAGGGATCAACCCCAGCAGCCTGGGGGCTTGCCTACAGCCTGCGAGGGTGTTTTGTTTGACGAAGTGGTGTTTTCAGCAGCTGCCAACTCCTTAAAATTGGGATCTTTCACACAGATCTAGATTTCTGGGTCCTCTTGGAAAAATTAAGAGATTCTACAACTTTTGGCTCTCATTCCCAGGAGGCAATAATCAGCTAGAGAGGATTATTCTTCACCAGGAAGAGCTGGGAATTGAGCGTCCAGTCCCTGCCTTCAGCTGGTGGTCAATACAGGAGAGTCGTTATTATCATCACTTACTACGCTTATTATACATATTAACTCAGAGTGTATGGCATTCGTGTGCAGGGACTCTATCTTCTACCGTCCCTCTCCTCCTGCTGTGAGCTGAGGCCTGGCACAGAGGAGACCTCATTTTGCATAACACAGATTCATGATTCATGATTCGCATCAACACAGGAAGCCCCTTATTAGGCGCCAGTCACCGTTCTCAGCGCGTCACATACATTATTATGGTATGTGATCGTCACAACAACCCGCCCAAGGTTACTGTCCTTGGGCCACTTTTGCAGGTGGGAAAACTGAGGCACAGCCCAAGATCACCAAGCCAGTAAAGGCGAGTCGACGTCCTCTACACGGCAGGGTTATACCCAGCGACCACGGAAGGTGGGGCCTCGCCTGCTTCCTGCCGCCCTCCCCAACTGGTCCCGCGACAGGCCGCCTCTGAAACCGCCAGGCACCCCTACTCTGTACTTACGGTCAAGGCCGTTGATGTAGCGCATGGTGACTTCGCAGTGGCCCCACACCGCACTCACCACCGGGTACAGCTTCTTGCCCTTGAGGCCGCGGAAGGCCACGCCCAGATACTGGCCGTCCACCACGAAGCTGAGCGTGCCCTCGTCCATGTCCAGCACCACGAGCAGCGAGTCCGGCAGCGCGAAGGCCTCCTCCGGCCCCAGGAAGGCGGGGTAGGCCACTCCCGGCCTGTTCTTGCCGTCGTGGTAGAGGCGGCTGCGGCCCAGGTCCCAGCCCCACGACTCCGCGTCACTGCCCACCAGTGCCGTGTAGCCCACGGAGTGCAGGGGGGCTCGGGCCGTGGCCACCCCCACTACGGCGTGGGTGCCACGCTGCCGCGCCGGCCAGTTGATCTGCCAGGCGTGCAGGCCCCGGGCGTGGCCCACCTTGCCGCGGATGCCGTCGGTGCTCTGGGCCACCGGGTGCCGGTGGAAGGTGAGCCGGTCGTCATCCTTGACGAAGACATTGAGCGAGCGGTCCTCAGGGTTCCACGCGTGCCGCAGCTGCACCGCCGGCCCCGCCGCAGGCATGTCCAACAGCTGGTCCAGCCGCGCTGGCCGCCCCGGCTCCGCTCCCTGTAGCTCCCGCTTGGCCGGCCGCAGCGCCGGCTCTCGCACCTCCACCGACTTGAGGCTCCCCGAGAGCTTCTGGCCCATGGCTCGCTGCCGGGAGGGGGCCGCTGCAGGCCACCGCTACCTCGTGGGAGCTTCCGCTCCCCACAGCCAGGGATGGGCCGCCGGGCTGGGTACCAGGCTTCTGGACCGTACACCTCCACAGCCTCTACCGGGCTGGGGCAGGGGCCCAAGCTCCTGGAAGGAAGCAGAGCGCACGGGTTACAACAGCAGCACCGGCAGCCAGTGATGCCCAGGGGCTGCGTGAATAATAACGTGAACGTGGACACAGGACAGCCATCTGAGGGTGGGGTGGGGTCTCCATGGGAAGGGGAGCTGGAGGCAGGGGGAATGAGGGAGCTGGGGTCCAGGTTCTGGAGCCAGAAAAAACTGCATCCAAACGCCTGTCTCCAACTCGAAGCTGCGTGGCCTGCAGTTTCCTCATCTGTAAAATGGGGATAAATAGCACCCTCTGGGTGGCATGGTAATCTGGAGAGACAGTAATACAAAGGGCCAAGCCTGAGACTCTGGGGGCAGGTTTTCCTCTCTGGCTCTATCCTCTGGGAATCCCACAAGCACCCCTTCCCTTCGGATAAGCATGCTTTTTCTTTGGGCACGTAAACACCATTAACAACACTGACCCCGGACAACCTCCTCTGAGGCAAGATCCTGGTTTTCAGGGAGGAGGACTTGGCCACCATCTCTAGGAGGCCAGCCAGAGCCCAGAGTGCTTGGGCTGCTTGGACAAGCCCTGGGTGTGGGGAAAGATGGAGAGGTGAGCCCGGCAGCCAGTCCAGGGCAGAGGTATGTGCCCTCGCTTCTCTGGCCTAAGAGCTGCTGGGCTCAGAATGACTTGCCCTGAGACAGACCAAGAGGCAGGCATTTTTCATGCCCTGCTCTGCCTGGCCACAACCTCCCACCCAAACAGTGGCCCACTCCCAGCCACAGTCCAAACGGAGAAGGAAAGAAACTTGCTGCTACACAGCACGGCAAGTATACTATGGATTCCTTTCTAACTCTCCTATTTTATTCTCAACTCTCATTTTCTTTTCCTTCTATTTGCAGACCCCAACTTCAGCACATGCCAACCCTATCCAGAGAGCTCTGGCTAATGTTTAATCTGGGGGAAACCAGAGCACGTACAAATTTGCAACACTAGACAGCCCGAAGATAGCAGAATACAGTTACTTCTTTTCATATCCCAAATCACCTAAAATAAAGGAGAAAGAGCAAGAGAAATGCAAATTTTATCTTCAGCAAAACCAGAACACATTTGTAACCCGAACCCCAACTTATAAGGAAAGGCTGCCAAAAACAGTAAAGGACTGCCAAAAGCAGCGACGATCAAACGGGGGTGAGAAAACACCTACAGAAAACACCTGTGGCTGCAGATCTCGGATAAAGCTGGCAGAGCCAACCAGTAGCTGGCACTCGCTGATGGAAAAAAACCAATGGTTCCTAAACAGAACAGTGGGAGCAGGGTATGTGGTCTGGCAGTGGGAGCTGCCTCGGACACCCTGAGGACAGAGGAGGGCAGGGGTAGCAAGAAAACCACAGGCCTGCCATCGTCACAGGAAGCAGTGTGTTGCTGAGGCAGAGTGGGAGATTGGGGGAAGCCCATAGCTACAGAACTGTGCCGCCGGGTAGAAGCGAGGCCAAAAGAAATCACGGCCTCAGTCCTAGGAACAAAATTACCGTGAACCGGGAGCAATCCTGCTCTCCTAAAATACTTCCTGGCACCTCCCCTCTGCATAAATCCCCTGCAAAACGTTGATCTAGAGGAATTAGCACACGACATAGTCAAAGATGCTTACAGGAGAAATAAAGGCGGGAGAGAACAACAACAACAACAAATGGCAAATCAAGAAAATTCACCGGAAAAAAAGCTGTCACAAAGCATATAAAAATTGTGACTAAATTTGTAAAGTAATTTTGTGATCACTTATTTCAGAAGGGAGACAACTAGCACAGTCTAAAAAAAAAAAAAAAAAAAGATAAAATGCATCTTACATAGTTATAAAGGCAACCTCTAGAAGGACTAAAGTGCAAAGCTTCCAAACTGTCAGAAAGAACACAACACAAAAGACCGCACACTGAAAGATTCTGCTGTAAGAAGCAAGAGAAATCATAACACAAAGACATAAAACATGATAGTAAAACTAAGCCTGAAACACTAGCTGTGTCAATGAATGGCCATAGTAAAAAAAAAAAAAAAAAAAAAAAAAAGAAGTAAGTTGGAAAATAAGACAAAACTCCCAACCATATGCTACATATAAAAGACCTCTCCAGGGGCACCTGGGTGGCTCAGTCGGTTAAGCATCTGACTGCAGCCCAGGTCATGATCTCACAACCTGTGAGTTCGAACCCTGAGTTGGGCTCTGTACTGGCAGCTCGGAGCCTGGAGCCTGCTTCCGATAGATTCTGTGTTTCTGTCTCTCTCTCCCCCTCCCCCACTCATGCTCTCTCTCTCAAAAATAAACATTAAAAAGAAATTTTTTTTAAAAAGAGGTATCTCCAAAGCAAAGAGAGGCAACAATATTAAAGATCTAACATACCAAATAATAGCACCAAAATTCAGATCAAAAGCTACAGACAATAACAAGGAAGAACAGGCAGATAGATACACAGCAGAGGCAGGTGACTTTAATGTACCTTTGTAAGCTTTTGACAGATCAGTGAACCAAATTAGCAAAGGACATAAAAAAATAAAAATTGCATAATTAATAAGGCAGGGTTAATTGAAGTATATATCAAAACATTTCCCATTTATCAGGCCACAAGTAAACCTTACGAAAAAAGCAGAGATAATACAGAATCTAATAACATAAAAAAAAAAAAACTAAAAATTAATCACAAAAATATGAGACAGAAGCCTACCACTTGGATATTTTACAAAACTCTGTTTTTTCTAAAGTTTATTTATTTATTTTGAGAGAGAGAGAGAGAGAGCAAGCGAGCATGGGAGCATGAGTGGGGGGAGGGGCAGAGGGAAGGAGAGAGAGGGAATCCCAAGCAGGTTGCATGCTGTCAGAGCAGAGCCCAACGTGGGGCTTGAACCCATGAACCATGGGATCATGACCTGAGCTGAAACCAAAAGTCGAAAGCTTAATCGACTGACCCAGCAAGGTGCCCCTAAAAACTTTCTTCTAAACAACTCAAATCAAAAAAAGAAACCTACATAGAATTTGAAGAATATATACAGAGTGAGAATAACAAAACACATTCCATATCTTAAAACCTGTGGGATCCTACTACTCAGAGGAAATCACGGCTGGTGTACTTATACTAGTAAGTATAAAAAATGAAAATACGTGAATTAAGCATAATAAAATAGAAAAACAATAGAACTAACGGGAGAACTAATTCTTTGGGAAAAAAGTACCACAAAAACAAAACAAAACAAAACCAATAAAACACAAAAACTGTCTAAGGCAATCATTTAATCTACCATATTATATTATCTATTATATGGTTATTAATTATTATATCATTATCATGCTGATAGTATGTCATGAAATGATAAAACATGATGTAATGAAATAGTACTTTATGGTCTTCTTCCACAAAACCCATAACCTCAGTCTAATCATGACAAAGATATAGGACAGATTCCAATGGGGGGCATCCAACAAAATACCTGACCAATACTCGTCAACACTGTTAAGGGCGTTAAAGACAAGGAACATCTGGGGCATCTGAGTGGCTCAGTCGGTTAAACACCAGACACTTGATTTTGGCTCAGGCCATGATCTCATGGTTTGTGGGTTCGAGCCCCACATTGGGCTCTGCTCTGACAGTGCAGAGGCTGCATGGGATTCTCTCTCTCTCCCTCTCTCTCTGCCCCTCCCCTGCTCTTGTATTTGAGGGCACACACTGGCTCTCTCTCTCTCTCAAAAATAAATAAGTAAATAAGCTTAAAAAAAGAAAAAGGAACAAACTGTCACAGCCAAGGGGAGCCTACCTAAAGAGACATGACAACTAAATTTAATATGGTATCCTGGACGGGGCGCCTGGGTGGCGCAGTCGGTTAAGCGTCCGACTTCAGCCAGGTCACGATCTCGCGGTCCGTGAGTTCGAGCCCCGCGTTGGGCTCTGGGCTGATGGCTCAGAGCCTGGAGCCTGTTTCCGATTCTGTGTCTCCCTCTCTCTCTGCCCCTCCCCCGTTCAGGCTCTGTCTCTCTCTCTGTCCCAAAAATAAATAAACGTTGAAAAAAAAAATTAAAAAAAAAAAATATGGTATCCTGGAACAGAGAAACGATACTAGGAGAAAACTAAGGAAATCTGAATAAAGCATAGTCTTTAGTTAACAGGGTATCAATATTGGTTAATTAGCTGTGATAAATGTACCATACTAATGTAAAATGTTAATAATAGGGAAAACTGGGTGTGAGTATATGGGAATTGTACATATTTTCTATAAATCTACAACTATTCTAAAAATTAAAGTCTATTAATTAGAAAACAAATTAATTTCTAAGTTCTAGAAAATTCAAAAAAATGTACACAACTATAAATCACCACCTATCTCATTAACCAGATGTAAACAGTGTTAGCATTTAGATTATTTCAGTTTATCTTTTTTTTAATTTACAAAATATTAGTGAATTTTCATTTTAAAAAATGGCATCATGGGCCTTTATTCAGGTCATTTCACCCAAAACTAAATAATTTATATTTTCATATATTGTTAACTGTACTTTAAATGCAGAACTTCAATGACTAAAATAAGGAAACAATAAAACACATAAACCATTTAAGCTAATCATGTAAAGGGTGGGGAGAAGGCACAAATATGAGACATAAGAACTGAAAATGGGGGGGGGCAGCTGGGTGGCTCAGTCAGTTAAGTGTTCAACGTCAGCTCAGGTCATGATCTCATGGTTCGTGGGTTCGAGCCCCACGTGAGGCTCTGTGCTGAGAACCTGGAGCCTGCTTCGGATTCTGTGCTCCTTCTCTCTCTGCCCCTCCCCCCCCCCTCTCTCTCTCTCTCTCTCTCTCTCTCTCTAAAAGAAATAAAACATTAAAAATTTATTAAAAAATAAAAAAGAAATGAAAATGGGAAATAACCAAATGGCATAACAAAAAGCACTCATGAAAGAAGTTAGACTTGCTTATTGTTTTAATATGGGGGAATATTTAAGACACAGATTACAAATATATGACAAACAAATTGCTAAGAGAAGACCAACCCACATACA